CCTTCGTTGATCTCTTACTCCCCTCCCTCCTGTCCCCCAACCCTCCCTGGCCTTCCCACTGCAGTCTGACAATCGGTTTGAGGCAGCTCTGCCACTGTATTTATTATTGTTCAAAAGTTTGTAATGGTCTTAATTATCCATGAAAGAGTGAGATCATGTGGTATTTTTCCTTCATTGACTGGCTTGTTTCACTTAGCATAATGCTCTCCAGTTCCATCCATGCTGTTGCAAATGGTAAGAGTTCCTTCTTTTTAACAGCAGCATAGTATTCCATCGTGTAGATGTACCACAGTTTTCTAATCCATTCATCTACTGATGGGCACTTAGGCTGTTTCCAGATCTTAGCTATGGTGAATTGTGCTGCTATGAACATCTGGGTGCATATATCCTTTCTGATTGGTGTTTCTGGTTTCTTGGGATATATTCCTAGAAGTGGGATCACAGGGTCAAATGGGAGTTCCATTTCCAATTTTTTGAGGAACCTCCATACTGCCTTCCATAGTGGCTGCACCAGTCTGCATTCCCACCAGCAGTGCACAAGTGTTCCTTTTTCTCCACATCCTCTCCAGCACTTGTCGTTTGTTGATTTGTTGATGATGGCCATTCTGACAGGTGTGAGATGGTACCTCATTGTTGTTTTGATTTGCATCTCTCGGATGATTAGTGACTTTGAGCATGTTTTCATATGTCTCTTGGCTTTCTGAATGTCCTCTTTTGAAAGGTGTCTATTTAGATCCTTTGCCCATTTTTTGATTGGATTGTTTATCTTCTTTTTGTTAAGTTGTATGAGTTCCCTATAAATTTTGGAGATTAAGCCCTTATCAGATATGACGTTGGCAAATATGTTTTCCCACGAGGTGGGTTTTCTTGTTGTTTTGTTGATGGTTTCTTTTGCTGTGCAGAAAAGTGGTAGATTCTTAAGACTAGTTGAATGTGGAATCTGAAATTATATCCACAATTGTGTACTCTATTACATTAAAATCCATTGGTCTGTATTTGAGCTTTGAATGGATCTTTTCCCATGTAAAAACATCATACATTAGTCATTTGAAAAATATTGCTTCACTGAAGAACTTTCCAATGTTGACACATTTCATTATAGAATATAAAGCAATCACAATCATTAATATCAGCACTGACCTCATTAGAAATTCTTCAAATATTAGGAAGTTGTTAAGCTAGTGGTGTGTTTTCAAAAATTCAAGTTTTTGTTTGAAAACTCAAATAAATCATTAGTAACACACACTGCAAGTCTTTTTCTTTCAAAGTGGCAAGTATACTTAATTCCATTTTGAGAAAATGTCTGCTAAGTAGCCAAGTCTTAATAACTATAGTTTGTCCACTTGTCATGTTTTCAAGTAAGAATTGTGCTTCATAAATAAATTAGAGGCCCGGTGCATGAAATTTGTGCACTCGGGGGTAGGGGGTCCCCTCAGCCTGGTCTGCACCCTCTCACAGTCCTGGAGCCCTTGGGGGATGTCTGACTGATGGCTTAGGCTGCTGCAGAAGTGGGAGAGGCTCCCACCACTGCAGCTGCACTTGCCAGCCATGAGCCCGGCTTCTGGCTGAGCGGCACTCCACCTGTGGGAGCGCACTGACCACCAGGAGGCAGCTCCTGCATTGAGTGTCTGCCCCCTGGTGGTCAGTGCATGTCATAGAGACCGGTTGTTCGGTCATTTGGTTGATTTGCATATTAGCCTTTTATTATATAGGATTGGTGAGTGCATGGTGCAACTCAAACATCTGTGCATGTGCTTTATCTCGAGACAACCGCCCGCACACCAGAGGCGGCAGGGGTACCTTATCTCATTATATAGAAAGTTATAAAGATGGATGTGCAAGAATTGACATATAGAGCTGACCCTTGAGCAATGAGGGGGTTGTGGGTACCGACCCCCATGAATTAAAATCTCCGCAGGTAACTTTGACTGCCCCCAAACTTAATTACTAATAGCCTACTGTGGACCAGAAGGCTATTAATAAGTATATATGATACACTGTATTCTTACAATAAAGTAAGCTAGAAAAAAAATATTAAGAAAATCAACAGGAAGAGAAAATGCATTTATTTAAAAAAATCCGCATATAAGTGGACCTGCATAGTTCATACTGTGTTGTTCAAAGATCAACTGTAATAAAATCAATACATTTTACTGCTTGCTACAAAATTTAAGTCATTTTTAAATGATGCTGGCTTTTTAAATTAAACAATTTTTTTCAG